GACATTTGGGCCATTTCTGGTCTGAGGCGGCTGTCACTGATGCGGCTGTGAACGCGTCTGCAACATGTGTGTGTCTCCGTTGCTCCAGGGTAGGTGGCAAGGAGTGGGACTGCTGGGTCCTGGAGCGGCCAGAGCCTGAATGAGCATGGCCTGCCCGCCCCCGCAGCCGCCGCCTGCCAGGCTGCACCCTCACAGCCCCACTGGGAGCCAGGGAGGGCTGCGTTGTGGCCACACCTCACCAGCTCTCGTCCCTGTCCGGCTGCAGGCCTAGTCACGGTCTCCGGTGGCTAGTGATGGTGAGCACCTTGTGTGCTGATTGGCTGTTCTCACCCTAAACAAAAAGCAAACCCCACACACACAGCTCTGTTGAGGTGCAGTCTGCACAGCATAAGACTCACCCATCGGAGGTACACAGTTCAGGGTGGGTGTTTGGCCTAGTGCTTCAGATGCCTGTCCATGCCAGAGTACCAGGGTTCCATGCCCAGCTCCCCTCCACCACCTCGGGAGGCGGTGGTGATGGCGCAGGTAACGGGGTCCCCACCATTCGTGTCAGCGACGGGTTGCGTTCCAGCTCCCAGCTTCCATTTGGCCTGGCCTAGTCCTGGCTGTTGTAGGCACTTGGAGAGTGAACAGTGGAGAGGAATGGTCTCTGTCTCTCCTATATGAAAGTTTAAAAAGGTGTGCAGTTCAACAGTTTTTGCGTGAGTACATTATTGACTTGTAGTTAGGGGAGGAGCATGTTGGGGAAGTTGCAGCACCCTCGGTGCCTCGTGGGGGTCTTGGCTCCACTTCTGACTCCGCTTCCTGCGGAGGTGCAGCCGGGGGAGCAGCAGTGATGGCTCGGACCCTGGGTCCCAGCCGCCACGGGAGATGCAGTCTGAGTCCAGGCTCCTGGCTTCGGCCTGGCCCAGCCCTGGGCATTTGTAGAGTGAACTAACAGATGAAAGATCTCTTTCTATCTGTCTCTCTTAGCCTTTCTAATAAAAGGAAAGTAAATTAATTTTTAAAATCAATAAATATAATAGAATATGTGTAAAATTATGTGACAGGTTCACCATTGTAACCATTTCTAAGGTCCATAATTCAGTGACATTAATTGCACTCACCGAATTATGCAGCTGTCACTATCTCTTGAAGATTTCTTTTTGAAAGGCAGAGTTTCAGAGAGGGAAGGAGAGACAGAGAGACATATCTTCCATCCAGCCAGTAGCTTCATGTGGGCCTTCCACGTGCATGCAGGGGCTCACGGACTTGAGCCATGTCCTCATGCTCTCCCAGGCACATTAGCAGGGAGCTGGATCAGAAGTGGAGCAGCCGGGATTCAACTCAGTGCCCATATGGGACGCTGGCGTTGTGGGCGGTGGCTTCACCTGCTGTAGCACAGCGCCGACCCAGCCGACACTGCTTCCTTACCCCAGATAGAAGCACTGTGAGCGCTAAGCAATGACTCTGTTCCCACTCCAGCCCCTGGCAGCCATGGACCTACTGGCTTTCTCCAAGAACTTGCCTGTCCTGGACGCTTCTTGTAGACGGAGTTGTATGAAGCACGCTGCTTAGCACAGGTCGCTCCTGGGGTGGGGGTGGGGGTGTCAGAGCTTGGGCTGAGTTGTGTAGACACGTGGGTTGTTCACCTAGGGTGGCATTGCTGGCGTGGATGGTAATTCTGTGTTTAGTTTTTTTTTAAATACTTGCTTATTTATTTGAACAGCAATTGCACAGAGGCGGGGGAAAGAGATCTATCTGTTGGTCTGCTGGTTCACTCCCAGGGGCCCAAGCCCTTGGGCCAACATCTGCTGCCATTGCAGGTGCATTAGCAGGGAGTGGAGCAGCCAGGACTGGAACTGGCACCCTGAAATGGGGTGCTGGCATCATAGGTGGTGGCTTAACCCACCATGCCACAGTGACAGCCCCTGTGCATAGCTTTCTGAGGAACCGCCGAACCATTTTCCTCCGTGGCTGTGGGGTTTTGTGTTCCTACAAGCTGTGCACACGCATTCCCACTCCTGCATGCCTTCCTCAGCACTTCTTGTTGGGCTAATTCATTTTTTGTGTGGGTCCTTCAGGGTTTTCTGCATATAAGATTACATTGTGAGTAAGCAGATGAGTCACTTCCTTTTCAGTTTGGATGCCTTTTGTTCTCTTGCCTAATTGCTCTGGGTAGGACTCCTAGGTGCTAGCGCTGTGGCATAGTAGGGGAAAGCAGTGGAAGATGACCCAAGTGCTTGGGCCCCTGCACCCACATGGGAGACCCAGATGAAGCTCCTGACTCCTGGCTTTGGATCAGCCCAGCTGCGGCCGTTGCAGCCATTTGGAGAGTAAACCAGCGATGGAAGGCCTCTCTGTCTCTGTCTCTCTCTCTCTCTCTCTCTCTCAAATAAATAGATAAATCTTTTTTTAAAAAGGCTTCAAAACAAAGGCTTCTAGTACTATGTTGCACAGAAGTGGCAAGAGAGAGCATCCCTCTTCCTTGCCTTGGAGGGAAAGTTGTCATCTTTGATCAGCTGTGACCAGCTGGGGACTTGCTCTGTGCTGGGTGCTGAGCTTTGTCACTCAAGGTGGCCCTTCAGGGCTTTTCTCCTTTGTTCTGTTAAGGTGGTCTGTCTGCTGCCTTAAATCATAGCCAGTTTGCACTGGCTGGTTTTTGTATGTTAAACCATCCTTGCATTCCAGAAATGTCTTTTTAATAAAGCTGCCCGTGTGGTGCTGTTTGGTCTTCAGGTTTTTCCAGGGACGGCAGTGCTGGGGAAAGACTTGGTCTCAGCTCTGCTTGTCCTGCGGTTTCTTTTGGCATCAGGACAATGCAGATGTTGTTGGATGCACAGCAGAGTGACCGTCCTCTCATGTCTGGGGCAGCTTGAGAGTCGCTGTGCGTTCTCTGAGTAGGAGTCACCAATGACACTGCGCGGCCCTCAGCTCCCCTCCAAGGAGGGTCTGCCCACTGCCTCACTGCAGCTGGGCCTGCTCGGGTTTTCTGTGTTTCTTGAGTCAGCGTTGGCAGGCTGTGTATCTCGCTCATCTAAGTTGCAGATCCAAGTGCGCGGCATGGTTTGACCCATTTCCAGTTCCCCTTCTGATGTCTGCAGGGTATGTAGGAGCCCTGTTTCATACCAGTAATGGAAATTCGTGACTTTTTAACCATCTCTTCAGCTAGAGGTTTATCAATTTTATCGATCTTTTCACAGGACCAGCTCCTTCCTCACTGATTTTTCTCTGTGTTTTTCTGAGCTCACTGCTTCCCACTCTTCGCTTTATGTTTATTTCTGCTTTGTTCCTTTTGTCCCCTCTGAGTTCTTCAGGTGGGAGCTTCAATTATTTTAAAATGTTTAAATGCATTTATTTGGGAGACAGAGAGACAGAGAGCTCTCTTGTGCTGGTGCACCCCCGAAATGCCTACAACAACCAGGATGGCCTGAGACCAGAGTGGGAGCCGGAACTCAACCCAGGTCTCCCTCGGGGTTGGGGGATGGCAGGAGCAGGGAGCGGAGCCAGAGCCAGGCCTGAACACAGGCTCTCTGATGGGGGTGCGGGTGTTTAACCAAAACGCTGAGCACTGCCGCCCGGCCCTGGCCGTCTGTCCTTTAATTGTTGTGTTTAGGCCATTTACATTTAGTGTGGCTGTGGCTATATTAGGGTTTCAGGCTGTTTGAGTTCTTGTTTTCTGGTTTTCAGTTCTTGTTTTTCCACTGGCTTTCTGTGGATTACTTCAGCATTGCTTAGAATGTTATTTGGAATTATCTGTAGTGGTTTTTTACTGTATTCTTTTCAAAATTTTTTTTATTCATGGGGCCAACATTATGACACTGCAGGTTAGGCCACTGTCTGTGAAGCCAGCATCCCCTGTGACGCTGGTTTGTGTTCCACTGCTCTGATTCCCATCCAGCCTCCTGCTAATGGCCTGGAAAAGCAGTGGAGGGTGGCCTGAGTGCTTGGGCCCCTGGATGAAGCTCCAGGCTTCAGGCTTTGACCTGGTCCTTGCTGCTATTTGTAGAGTGAACCAGTGGATGGAAGATCAATTTATCTCTCTCTCTCCCTCCCTCCCTCCTACACTCCCTCCCTCCTACACTCCCTCCCTCCTCCCTCCCTCTTGCCTTCTCTCTGTAACTTTTAAAGTTTCAAATAAATAAATAAGTGCCTTTCAAATAAATAAGTAAATCCTCAATAAAATAATTTGTTATGCATTAGAGCAAGAAGAGGGGGATATCTTTACATAACTTCAAGTAATTATCCCGGGTGTTAAATTGTATATTCACAAGCTATCAAAGTCTACCAGTCCTACCATCTTACCAGTTTAAGTACAGAAAGCTTAATTTCATGTCTGTTTACCCTCTCTCATTTATTTATTTAAGATTTATTTATTTTGAAAGAGAAAGAGAGAGATCTTCCATCTACTGGTTCATTCTCCAAATGGCCGCAGTGGCCAGAAGCCTAAAGCTCCATCCTGGTCTCCCTCATGGGTGCAGGGTCCCACAAACCTGGGCGGTCGTCCGCTGCCTTCCCAGACGTGTCGGCGGGAGCGGGATGGGAAGCAGGGCGGCCGATGGGAGCCGGAGCTGCAGTGTGGGGTGGGGACGCCGGCATCCGCAGTGGGCGCTAACCCTCTGTTAGGACAGTGCCCGTCCACAGCGAGGATACTTAGAGTTATCTTAAGTGTGTGACCCACACGTTTAGAGCCGTAACAGAAGCTGTTAGCATTTTTGCTCAAACATCAAATACAACTTAGAAAACTCAAGAAGAGGGAAGTCTGGTGTGTTTATTCCTGTTTTTGCTAATTCTGTTCTTCCTTCTTCTGTCGCTTCCTTCGCTGCTGTCCGGGCGGCCCTGCTGGCAACGCAGCCCCCAGTGCCCGCACCTGGGAGCACGGTGCTTCCTCCTTCCCGAAGGCCGTCCACCGTGCAGGTTCCGCGTGCTGGTCGTTGTCCTCTCGGCTTCCGTCCTCGCTGATGTGTGGTCGGGCCTGCGCTGTCGTCGGCCTCCCCGACAGGTGAACTTCTCTCTGCCTGCTCTGAGGATCCGTTCTGTGACTTCTGCGAGTGAACCTGTGTGGGGTTCTCTGCTGTCTGATTGGGAATCTGCCAGCTGCTGCTGCTGCTGGCTTTTTTTTTTTTTTAAGATTTGTTTATTTGAAAGGCAGAGTTACAGAGAGAGAAGGAGAGAGCGCAAGAGAGCTCTTCTTCTGTCTACTGGTTCACACCCCAAATGGCCACAGTGACCGGGACTGGGCCAGGCCAAAGCCTTGTGGTTGTGTGTCGGGTGTGTTTGTGGTTGCGTGTGTCAGGTGTGTTTATGGTTGTGTGTCGGGTGTGTTTGTGGTTGCATGTGTCAGGTGTGTTTGTGGTTGTGTGTGTCAGGTGTGTTTGTGGTTGTGTGTGTCAGGTGTGTTTGTGGTTGCATGTGTCAGGTGTGTTTGTGGTTGTGTGTGTGGATGTGGAGTGCCTGTGGTTGCATGTGTCAGGTGTGTTTGTGGTTGCGTGTGTGGAGCGTGTTTGCGGTTGCGTGTGTGGAGCATGTTGCGGTTGCGTGTGTGGGTGCTTCCAGAGCACGGTCTGGTGCTGAGCTGAGGTCTGTCTCTAGCACCGTGGCTGGTGTGTGGCTGGTGTGTGTTGGGTGTGTTTGTGGTTGCATGTGTCAGGTGTGTTTGGTTGTGTGTCGGGTGTGTTTGTGGTTGTGTGTCGGGTGTGTTTGTGGTTGCATGTGTCGGGTGTGTTTATGGTGTGTGTTGGGTGTGTTTGTGGTTGCATGTGTCAGGTGTGTTTGTGGTTGCATGTGTCAGGTGTGTTTGTGGTTGCATGTGTCAGGTGTGTTTGTGGTTGCATGTGTCGGGTGTGTTTGTGGTTGCATGTCGGGTGTGTTTGTGGTTGCATGTGTCAGGTGTGTTTGTGGTTGCGTGTGTCAGGTGTGTTTGTGGTTGCATGTGTCAGGTGTGTTTATGGTTGCGTGTGTCAGGTGTGTTTGTGGTTGCGTGTGTCAGGTGTGTTTGTGGTTGTGTGTCAGGTGTGTTTGTGGTTGCGTGTGTCAGGTGTGTTTATGGTGTGTGTTGGGTGTGTTTATGGTTGCATGTGTCAGGTGTGTTTATGGTTGCGTGTGTCAGGTGTGTTTGGTTGTGTGTCAGGTGTGTTTGTGGTTGCATGTGTCAGGTGTGTTTGTGGTTGCGTGTGTCAGGTGTGTTTGTGGTTGCGTGTGTCGGGTGTGTTTGTGGTTGTGTGTGTCAGGTGTGTGGTTGCATGTGTCAGGTGTGTTTATGGTGTGTGTCGGGTGTGTTTATGGTTGCGTGTGTCAGATGTGTTTATGATTGTGTGTCGGGTGTGTTTGTGGTTGTGTGTGTCAGGTGTGTCTGTGGTTGCATGTGTCAGGTGTGTTTATGGTGTGTGTTGGGTGTGTTTATGGTTGCATGTGTCAGGTGTGTTTATGGTTGCGTGTGTCAGGTGTGTTTGGTTGTGTGTCGGGTGTGTTTGTGGTTGCATGTGTCAGGTGTGTTTATAGTTGTGTGTGTAGATGTGGAGTGCCTGTGGTTGTATGTGTGGAGTGTGTTGCGGTTGCGTGTTGGAGTGTGTTGCGGTTGCGTGTGTGGGTGCTTCTAGAGCACGGTCTGGTGCTGAGCTGAGGTCTGTCTCTAGCACCGTGGCTGGCGTGTGGCTGGTGTGTGCTGCACTGTGGAGAGCAGTGTTTCACGTACAGTCAGTTTGAGATCTCGCTGGTTTTTGGAGTGAGGAGTCATTTTCCGTGGGAGCTGAGACGTGCTGGCTGTTACTGGGGGCGTAGCAGGAGGTGCCGCCCATTGCTCTGCCGCTGATGCTGTGGGCGGGGTCTCCTTGCCACTGCTTGGTGGGGCAGGGCACTTCCCACAGAGCCTCTGCTGGTGCCCCTGCCTGGGCTGGGGTGGAGTCCACATTGCTTCTCCCACACCCACACGCCCTCCACGACACCCTTTCACGCCTGCAGCCTGGCTGGGGTCATGCCCAGTGAGCCAAGTGGGGTGCGCCGTGCACCTGGGGGTTGCACTGGAGTGGGCGGCTGCCCTGGTCCACCCATGGGCATGTCCACGTCCTTGGCTGCAGTGAGGCGGTGCCCTGCCGTGGCTACACAGACCTTGCTGTGTTGGGAGCTGCTTTCCCGTCTGAGAGAGGCGTGCGCTGCCTCCGTCTCAGGGCCCTTCCCAGCAGGCAGTGGTGCGCTGGCGCCTCGCTCTAAAGCGGCCTCCTTCCTCCTCCTGCTGTGGCCTCTGTTTCCATGGCGACTTGGTCTCGCTGCAGCTCCCCGAGCATGGGTTCTGCCCAGCAATTGGGCACTGGCTGGGTCCCGCCTGGATCCCAGTGCCTTCCACCAGCCTGAGCCCTGGGGCACCCTGCTCAGAGCGGGGGCTCAGCACACAGCAGCCCAGGCCAAGGCAGCCAGGGCTGAGGGTCACCCACCACTACCCCAGCTGGCACCGCAGCCTCGTCTCCAGCTCCCCTGCCCGCCCCTTCCCTTCCCCCAGCTGCAGACCTGGCCCAACTTTGCCACAACCTCCAGCCATTGTTTTGTTTTGTTTTAAAGATTTATTTATTTGAAAGGCAGAGTTAGGGAGAGGGAGAGAGATCTTCCATCTGTTGGCTCACTCCCCAAGTGGCCATCGTGGCTGGAACAGGGTTAGGCTGAAGCCAGGAGCCAGGTGCTTCTTCCAGGTCTCCCACATGGGTACAGGGGCCCAAGCACGTGGGCCATCCACTGCTTTCCCAGGCCATAGCAGGGAGCTGGATCAGAAGTGGAGCAGCCAGGACTGGGACTGGTGTCCATATGGGATGCTGACTTACCAGCCACGCCATAGCACTGGCCCCAGCTTCCAGCCTTTTGACCTTGCCAGCCCATAGGGCCTCCCTCATCAGAACCCTAGGCCCCTGTGGGCTCAGTCCCTGGCCTCCCAGCTCATCCCACCCTCCCCTCCCCATGATGTAGGGCTCTCAGAGCTGTCTGGGGCTGGGCGGGGCGTCTGACAGCAGCCCTGAATAGAGCCAGTTCTCGCCCCGCCCTCTTCTGCCCCCTCCCTGCAGGACTCCCACCCCCAGGGGCTCCTGTGCCCTTGGAGTGCGTTCAAGCCCTGCCCCAGTAGCCGAGTGGCCCTGCAGGCTGCACTGTGGCTGTCCACTGCTCAGGGCCCAGCACAAAGCACGTGGCCATTTACCGTGTTCCCTGCTGAAGTTTAGATTTGCCAGAAAGGTGCAGGGATCCCAGAGTTGCCACGCTCTGCGCCGTTCCTGGCAGGTGACTACCCCCAGCTGTCCACACTGGTTGACGTGAGCATGTGGCCGGCAGTTCCCTGAGAACGGTGTCTGCTTTCTGCTCCAGGGCACATGGCCGCTCTCCCTAACGCAGGCTGGAGACTTAGGCAGCAGAAGAAATTCCTGAGGTGGGGGCAGGGGCGGGCGGTGGGACGCGGCCAGCAGTCTGTGCGTCCTCTGGTTTTGGGCAGTGGGAAGAGGCTGTCAGGAGGTGGCGCTGTGGAGCCGGGCCTGGGGCTGTTGCCTGTGAGCCTGTGAGGAGAGCCCCCTGTTGGACCCTTCTGAATCCTGCTCTCCACACCAGCCGCCAGGCAGAAGCCACTGGCCTGTGCATCCGCCACAGTGCTTGTCCTGGCCTGGGGCGGCCGTGGGGGCCGGCAGCGGCTCGCCCTTCATGGGGTGCTCCGAGTGGGGAGGGTGTGGCAGGGGCACCGGGCATCAGCACTGTTACACACCGTTGTCTTGGCACCAGTCCAAAAGCCGGTGACAGCTGAGTCATTGGCACACAGCTTGGCTCTGCAGCCCCTGGCCCAGAGCAGGGGCCGCACTGAGGGCAGCTGCAGCCGGGGGAAGGGGGCGCAGGCCACCGCTTCCAGGCAGCCCTGGGAGGTCCAGCCTTTTCTTCTTGACCATTAGAAGAATCAAACGTTATTTTACTTATGTTTTAAGATTTATTTATTTGAAAGGCAGAGTTACAGAGAGAGAGGGAGAGAGAGGTCTTCCATCTGCTGGTTCACTCCTCAGATGGCTACAACGGCTGGGGCTGGGCCAGGCTGCAGCCAAAAACTTCCCGGGGTATCCCCGATGGGTGCAGGGCCCAAGCACTTGGGCATCCTCCACTGCTTTCCCAGGCCACAGCAGAGAGCTGGATCAGAAGTGGGGTTGCCGGGATATGAGCTGGAGCCCATATGGGAGTGTTTCAGGTGGCAGCTTTTACCACATCGCTGACCACAGAAAAATACATCTTTTGGGCGTAAGCGCTGGTTCAAGTCTCAGTGTCTGTCTGTCCATAGCCGCCCCTCCCCCAGCCCCCCGTTAGTGTCCTTTAGCGACGTCTCGCTCACCTCCTGAGAACTGTATTCCAAGCACTTTAAGGACACTTAGAGAGGCAGAGCTCCGACACACTGGCTCACTCCCGACTTGCCCACAGTGACCAGGACTGAACCCGGGTCTCCCACCTGGGTGACTTGAGCCCTCCCCTGCCACCTCCCCAGGCCTGCATTAGAGGGAGCTGGATCCAGGAGCTGGGGACCAAGTCCAGGCGTCTGGTGTGGGATACGAGTGTCCTAGCTGGTGGGCCAAATGCCCACTCCCCTGCTCCAGGCACTCTTGCTATTGGAAATAGCATGCCCGTCTTCACATTTTGTTTTCCTGCTTTTCAGGGGTGTGCACCTTGGTTGCCCACAGGTCCGTGGGTGTTTCTACACAAGCATCGCACCTTTCCGGCCAACGATCTTCTTTCCTTCTTCGTTTTCTTTGCCTTGCCCTGCCGCACTGTCCAGGACCACGGGTTCTAGCGTTGCTGGTGGCAGTGGGCTTCCGCCTTCCCACAGTGCTTTGTGCTTTCTGGAAGGTTCTTGTGAGGAACACCAGAAAGTGTCCTTTGAGTGCTCCTTGGCCTAGTGCTTCCTTTTCTGTAGATTGGCTATGGCATAAACCGCCCCGTGACTGGATTTTGCGTGGAGCTTGAATCTCACTAAACCTCTTCTCCCACGGCCTGCCCGTCAGCCTTGACTGTGCCGATTCTCTGGTGTTAAACCAGCCGTGCATTCCAGAGATGGACCTGGCGCGGTTCCGTGGTGGATTCGTGTCTGTACCCATTGTGATCCGTGCGGGACCTCTGCCCCGTCCTCGTGGAGCTGGCCTGAAGGGCCTGCAGGGTTCCTGCCGCTGCACTTCCCGCGTGGGAGCCGCTTCTGCCTTGGGAGACTCCTGCCGGGGCACAGGGCAAGCTCAGGCCGCACGCGCTGTCTCCTCCTCCTTTCTCAGCCTTCAAACCAAGCTCTTAGTATTTTTTTTTTTTTTAAGATTTTATGTATTTATTGGAGAGGCAGAGTTAGAGAGGTCTTCCACCTACTGGTTCACTCCGCAAATGGCTGCAATGGCCGGAGCTGGGCCGGTCTGAAGCCAGGAGCTAAGAGCTTCTTTCAGGTCTCCCACGTTAGTACAGGAGCCAAGGACTTGGGCCATCTTCTACTGCTTTCCCAGGCCACAGCAGGGAGCTGGATCGGAAGTGGAGCAGCCGGGACTTGAACCCGTGCCCATATGGGGTAGGGGCACTGCAGGAGGAGGCCTAGCCCACCACACCACAGGCCAGCCCCAGGTCAAGGCCGTATTTGGTTTCTGACGTGCTCATTGCCTGTCTTTGCGTGAACAATCCCAGGGGCAGGCAGCCCCACATTCCACGTCGCCATGTTGCGTCCTTGGCAGCTCTAGGGATTACAGATTCTCCTTTATATCGAGCTGTCTTTTTTTTTTTTTTTTTTTTTTGACAGGCGGAGTGGATAGTGAGAGAGAGAGAGAGAAAGGTCTTCCTTTTGCTGTTGGTTCACCCTCCAATGGCCGCTGCGGCCGGCGCACTGCGCTGATCCAATGGCAGGAGCCAGGTGTTTCTCCTGGTCTCCCATGGGATGCAGGGCCCAAACACTTGGGCCATCCTCCACTGCCTTCCCGGGCCACAGCAGAGAGCTGGACTGGAAGAGGGGCAACTGGGACAGAATCCGGCGCCCCGACCGGGACTAGAACCTGGTGTGCTGGTGCTGCAAGGCGGAGGATTAGCCTACTGAGCCGCAGCGCTGGCGAGCTGTCATTTTTAAATGTTATTTATTCAAAAAATGTTTAAAGTTTTATTTTTATGTATGAAAGGTAAGAGAGAATTCAGTCTTCCATCCACTGGTTCACTACAAATGGCCACAACGGCCAGAGCTGGGCCAGGCTGAAGCCAGGAGTCGGGAGCTTCTTCAGTCTCCCACGTGGGTGCAGGGGCCCAAGGGCTCGGGCCACCTTCCGCTGCGTTCCCAGGCCACAGCAGAGAGCTGGGTCTCGCGTGGAGCAGCCGGGCTTTGAACCAACGCCCACGTGAAATGCTGGTGTCTCGGGCGACGAGCTGCGACAGCACAACACCTGCCCCCACTTTCATTAGTTACTCATTCGAATTCCTTGTGGGCATAGGAATATTAGGGTTTTATCTTTTCTGGCACTTGTCAGTTCTGTGTGTGTTCCCCCTTTGCTGGTGTGAAGTGTGGGGCTGGTGCCTTGCTGCCGCCCACTTGTCCCCCAGTGTCACTCGTGCATTCCTTTTCTCTGCCTCCGGGTCAGTCTTTTAAAATGTGTTATTTATTTGAGGGACAGACGGAGCTCTCCCTTCGGCTGATTGACTCCTCAGATGCCCACAGCGGTTGGGCCAAGAGCTCGGCCCTGTGTGCAGGGTGCGCTCCCTCCCAGGGCGTGCGCCAGTGGGAAGCTGGGTCGGGAGCAGTCGGTTGTGTGGGGCAGTGGCACTAGAGGCACCTTAGCTGCCCGACGGAATGCCTGCCCCTCCAGTTGATGGCGGCGGCAGAGGTGCGCGTGTTGGCGGAGCACCAGCCTGGGGCCCTCTCGGGCTCGTTGGCGGTCTTTCCCTCTGCTTTCCCTGGGTTCCTCGTGCTGTTTTCCCGTGGCGCTGGGGACGCCGTGCTTTCTGATGCGAGCGCTGAGGGCTGTGAGCACTGCTGAGCTGCGTCCCGCAGTTTTATCTTCATTGATTGAAGCGGCGGAGAGAGGGAGAGCGCCAGGAGCCCAGCACTCAATCCGGGGCTCCCACGAGGGCGGCAGGAGTGGGGGCAGCGTGTGCTTCAGCAGGAAGCCAAAATCTGCAGCGGAGCAGGGCCCTGACGGCAGCGTGGCTGCTGCGCCGAGTGCCCTCGGCCACCCGCGGGCTGCGGTGCTGCTGTCTCGGGCCGTCACTCTGCTCCGGACGTGGCCTCATCCCCGTTTCGTGTTGGATGCCTTGCTGAACTGCGATGATCTTGATTCCCCGATTTTTTTTTTATTTTTCTATTTTTTATTTTTTTGCCAGACAGAGTTAGTGAGAGAGAGTTACAGATAGTGAGAGAGACAGACAGAAAGGTCTTCCTTCCGTTGGTTTACTCCCCTAATGGCCGCTATGGCCGGCACTGCGCCAATCCAAAGCCAGGAGCCAGGTGCTTCTCCTGGTCTCCCATGCTGGTGCAGGGCCCAAGCACTTGGGCCATCCTCCACTGCACTCCCGGGCCACAGCAGAGAGCTGGCCTGGAAGAGGGGCAACCGGGACTAAAACCCCGGGTGCCGGAGCCGCAGGCGGAGGATTAGCCGATTGAGCCGTGGCGCCGGCCGATTCTCAGATCTTGAGAGGACGTTCTGGGAACTCGCTGGACAGCCCTTGACATTTTGTCAGCGAAATGCAGCCCAGGAGGAAACGTGGGCCTTGAGGCCCGAGGTTTGCCTCGTGTCCAGCTTTTTTGGGCTGTTTTGTAACGTGGTTTTGCTTTCTCGTAGCTCTTGGGTAATTTTTAAATGTCCTCGTCTTGTTCCTGGGGTCCTGCTCTGTGGGGCGCAAGCTCGGACCCACGCCATCCACTGAAAGTGTGTGTGAGCCCCACGTGTCGCGTCCCCTTGCCAGGAGCCAGTGGGCGTTCACAGGAAACAGTGGCTTCCAGGCTCAGCGTGCTGACGCTCCGGGCGTCACAGGGAAGAGGTGCAGCCTCCACACGTTGTGCTGCTTCCTGCACACCCTCGGCGGCCGCGGGCTCTGGGGCTGCAGCTGTGCAGCCGTCACTTGGCGTCCACTGCCCCGCTCAGCAGCCTGTGGTCGGACCTGCAGACGCAGCCCCGAGGGACCTGCTGGCACTGTGCTGCCCAGCGTGCCGCCCGCACCCCCTGTAGCTTGCAGGCACACTCGTGCACTCTGGTGGGAGTCCTTCCTTCCACACTGCCCGTCCTCTCTGTCCACACCGCCCTGGGTCTCCAGGCTCTGTGCCGTGGAATGAGGACGGGACGGGGCCCCTGCCTTGTGGCTGGGGCAGGGGTGAGGCTGACTGTACCCCACAGAGGCGTGGGGCACAGTGAGTGGCCAGGACTTTGAGCCACTCTGTGGGTAGCTTCCAGGTCAGGAGGACGCATGTTCCGAACAGACCCCCATCCCTGCTGGCTCAGGACCGGGTGCTGGGAGCAAGTGGCTCAGGGCTGTTGCCACATCGTCTTCACTGGCCGTGCCAGCAGGCGGGGGCCCCGGGGCTGGTGTTGGCAGTTGGCTGTCTGGGGTGTCCAGGGAGGGTTTGCTGTCTAGGCTACTGCGAGGTGCAGTTGGGGTGTCCCAGGCCGGCTGGACGCCAGCTGTCCCCTGGGAGTCTTGCCTACTGGAGCCAGCTGCAGAGGGGACTGAAGGGGTATCCCTGTCCTGGAGAGGCCCCGGGCAAGAGGTGGGCTCCTTGGGGTGGAAGGGAAGGCATGGGAGGCAGCCTGGGTTGGGCCCCGGGGCCTTGGATGGGCTTCAAGTTTCCCAGTGGCCTGGGACGGAGCGGAGGCCCCACTATTGCCCAGAGCACCTGCCGGCTGCTGCCCTTCCTACCCGGGGTATAATTAGCCACCATGACAGGTGCTGCGTATCGAGTGCCCAACTCTGACCCAGTGCTGCCTGGCCTTGGCCGACCTGCCCCACCCTGGACCAAGGCTCAGAGGCTGAATCCTGAGGAGGCCTCAGGCCCCACCCCCCTTAGCACAGGGATGGTCAGGAGGGGAATCCCGGGCAGTGGCACAGGCTCTGGGAGTCCTGGCGCTGGCCCCACCCCTGCCCTCAATCCCTGCGCAGCGCCCCAGGGATCACTGAGGGCATCTCGGGCAGGTGGGAGGTGTGGAGCCCAGGCGGAGCCTCTGCTGGTGACGTCAGCCCCCAGCAGGAAGCCTGAGGCCTGGCGGGCCTGGCCTGGGGCTGCAGCAGCCAGCCAGCCGCCCAACTGCGCCCCTCTCCCCAGTGCAAGAAGAAACACACGCTGCTGTGCCCCGACTTCGCCCGCAGGGGCGCCTGTCCCCGCGGCACCCAGTGCCAGCTACTGCATCGCAACAAGAAGCGCCACGGCCGGCGGACAGCGCCCCCCACCCCGGGGCCCGGCGACACCACCCCCAGGAGCAGGCCCTCGGCCGGCCACGGGCCCAGGTGATGGTGCAGTGGGAACGGCGTGTCAGGGCACATGGGACCCCCTGGGGTGGTGCCCCCCCCCCCCGGGTCCCTGAGGCTAGACTGAGCCAAGGCATCCCCAGCCCCTGGAGGGGGTAGGAGCTTCTGATGACCCATTGCCTGGAGAGGGGACCTGCTGTGTGAGCGTGGGAGCCCAGGCAGGGCAGGCGAGGCGGGGTGCATGTGGAGCTGGGATTGCCACCAGCCGGCCGAGCCCGGGTGCCTCAGGCAGAGGCCCCGTAACCCCCTGGGGCCCCGGCAGAGGGGAGGTGGGGGCGGGCTGCCACCCTCACCTGGGGCCCTTTGCTGTCCTGCAGGAAGCCCTCCGCCAGCCAGCGTCCACCCACACAGACGTCCAGCTCTGCTGCCACGGCTGCCCCCGCCTCCCCTCCCCAGACCCCAAGGAAGTCAGCCTCGGCCTTTCCCTCCACTTCCTCACCCAAGGCGGCCGCCGCCTCCTCCTCCTCCTCCTCCTCCTCCTCCTCCTCCTCCTGCCCCTCCTCCCCCCCCTCCTCCCCCTCTCCCTCCTCCCAGGAGGAACCGCACCTCCAGGAGGCGGCCGTGCCGGTGGCTTCGAGCTCTGGGGGCCTCTACAAGCTGCCTTCCTTCATCTCCCTGCAGTCCTCGCCGAGCCCGGGAGGCCAGACCCGGGCGCGGACCCCCAGGAGCCCCCGCTCCAAGGACTCAGGTAGGCAGCCCCAGGCCCGGCCCAGGCATCGGAGCTGCAGGTGGGGCCCTGTGAGCCAGGCCGGCCGTGGGCAGGGCCGTGAGGTGCAGCCCGGCCCGGGCTGATTTAATTAGGAGGCAGCCGTTTGTGTTAATTTGTTCTGGACGATCAGAGGCGCTGCTGTGGAGAGCAGATGTTCCTGCTCGCGGGATGCACATTTGGGGCCTGGTGAACGGCTCCGCTCAGCCTTGTTTAGGGAGAAGGGAGGATTTTATGGCTGCAGACGGCCCTCTCTGGGAACACTTTACAGCTCTCCGCACTCTGAGTGACGATAAACCCCACGCAGCTCGGCGGGCTGCAAATGCGCGGCCATACGGCCGGCGTTTTATTGTCGTATTTCACGGTCGTCACGCTAATGGAGGTGCTTACTGCAGCCCCCTCACAGCCCTGCCGAGCTCGCCACAGCCACCGCGGCCAGGCCCTCGTGCCTTGCACCAGCAGGGGCCCGTGAGGACTGGGAGGGGGCTGGGGGCGGGGTGGGTGCTGAGGGCCGTCAGAACTTCCTTCCCCCCTCAGGTCCCACCCACAGGGCCTGGGTGCTCTGGGCAGAGGTAGGCTGCCCTGCCAAGGTGGCCAGCTGGTGGGGTGGGCTCGGCTGCCTGGGTGGCACCTGGGAGGTGGCCCCTGAATCGACTGGGGAGTGAGGCAGGAAGCACTGAGCCAGCCTTGCTCAGTGTGGGGCCCGCGCTCTGCCCCACCCACCCCACCCAGCAAGCTGCTCCCACAGCCCCCCTGAGTAGGAGGTGTGTGTGCACATCTGTGCAGGGTGTGCATAGGCCGGGGGTGAGTGTGGGATCTGTGTGGGGTGTGCATAGGCAAGGGTGAGCGTGTGTATCTGTGTGGGGTGTGCATAGGCCAGGGGTGAGAGTGCACATTGTGGGTGTACATGGCCCAGGGGTGAGTGTGCACATCTGTGCAGAGTTTGCATAGGCAGGGGTGTGTGTGCATCTGTGTTCACACCACACACGCCCTCCTGTGTTCACACCATACACACCCTCCTGTGTTCACACCACACCCTGCTGTGTGTTCACACCACACACACCCTCCTGTGCTCACACCACACACACCCTCCTGTGCTTACACCACACACACCCTCCTGTGTTCACACCACACACACCCTCCTGTGTGCTCACACCACACACACACTCTCCTGTGCTCACACCACACACACCCTCCTGTGCTTAAACCACACCACACACTCCTGTGTTCACACCACACACACCCTCCTGTGTGCTCACACTACACACACACCCTCCTGTGTGCTCACACCACACACACACTCTCCTGTGCTCACACTACACACACCCTCCTGTGCTCACACCACACACACCCTCCTGTGCTTACACCACACCACACACTCCTGTGCTTACACCACACACATTATCCTGTGTGTTCACACCACACACTCCCTTCTGTGTGCTCACACCACACACACCCTCCTGTGTGTTCACACCACACACTCCCTTCTGTGTGCTCACATCACACACACCCTCCTGTGTGCTAGGCAGGGGTGAGAGTGCACATCTGTGTGGAGTGCATAGGCAGGGGTGATTGTGCGCATCTGTGCGGGGTGTGCATAGGCCAGGGGTGAGTGTGTACATCTGTGCGGGGTGTGCATAGGCGGGGTGATTGTGCGCATCTGTGCGGGGTGTGCATAGGCCCAGGGGTGAGTGTGTACGTCTCTGCAGGGTGTGCATAGGCCAGGGGTGAGTGTGTACATCTGTGCAGGGTGTGCATAGGCCAGGGGTGAGTGTGCACATTGTGGGTGTACATGGCCCAGAGGTGAGTGTGTGCATCTGTGTGGAGTGTGCATAGGCAGGGGTGAGTGTGTACATCTGTGCGGGGTGTGCATAGGCCAGGGGTGAGTGTGCACATCTGTGCAGGGTGTGCATAGGCCAGGGGTGAGTGTGCACATTGTGGGTGTACATGGCCCAGAGGTGAGTGTGTGCATCTGTGTGGAGTGTGCATAGGCCAGGGGTGAGAGTGCACATCTGTGTGGGGTGTGCATAGGCAGGGGTGATTGTGCGCATCTGTGTGGGGTGTGCATAGGCCAGGGGTGAGTGTGTACATCTGTGCAGGGTGTGCATAGGCCAGGGGTGAGTGTGCACATTGTGGGTGTACATGGCCCAGAGGTGAGTGTGTGCATCTGTGTGGAGTGTGCATAGGCCAGGGGTGAGTGTGTACATCCGTGCGGGGTGTGCATAGGCCAGGGGTGAGTGTGCACATCTGTGCGGGGTGTGCATGGCCACGCCACCCCCGCCGTACAAGCCCTGGGCACAGCAGAGGCCCTTGTAGCCGCTCTGCTCCCTTGCCCATGGCTGGCCAGGCCAGGCCTGCAGCAGGCTGGGTGGGCCCTGGGAATGCCAGGTCCTGGAGGCCGCTGGGGGCAGGCTCCCGTCCACAGCTGTGGTCCCCTCCCTAGCCTGGGCTATCTGCGTCCCCCACCCTGCGGGCCGCCCATCCTGAGCCCCAGAGCAGAAGCCTGTTGGGGGGATGCTGCACCTGGCTGGGGGTCGCCACAGCCCTGACCCTTGCCCTCTCCACACAGGGAGGCCTCTGCACATCAAGCCGCGCCTCTGAGGGCCCCGGGACCAGCCTGCACCTACCTCACCCTCCACCCTGAGGAAGGGCTGCAGGGGCACCGTCCTGCCTGCCTGACGCTCAGCCTTCTGTGGCCAGTATGCCCAGGGCCTTGTCTTCCTGCCTTGGGCCAGGCACCTGCCCAGCCGGCCCCCGTGCCCCTCCCTCCTCACCCCTGCCCCTCAGGGTGCCCCGTCCCGTCCCCTGCCGTGGGCGTGGGTGGCCGTGCCCTGGCTGCCCGGCCTCCTCGCAGGTACTTTGTGTCCAGCAATAAAGGCTCTGTCCTGCACTCGGTCGCCCCGTGCCGGCCGCCACCGCCGCACCACTGCGCACGCCGGCGCCCGCCCTGCCCCACATAAATGCTCTGGGGTCAGAGCAGTCCCCTGTGGCCGAGCCAGCACCATCTGGGGGGGGGGGGGGTCAGGCGAGCAGGAGGTGGGGGCAACCCTGGCTCCACCCACCCTGTTGGCACTTTGGGTTCTGAGGGACCTGACGGGGCCCTGTCTGAGAACGCGGTGGCACCCTTGGAGGGCCCCCCAGTGGCCTACGTGTGCAGCCATCATTGCACCCCCTGGCCACTGCCCTGTGCGGCCACACCTGCCGCCTGGAGCCCGGCAGTGATGAGGTTGAAGAGCTGCGCTGGCCGGGGCGGGTCCCTGGGAGAGGGCAGCTCTGCCCCTGCCGCCCAAGCCACGGGGTGCATGCCCGGCTGAGGGCAGGGGCTCCCCCGAGCAGATGCTGTGACCCACCTGGCAGGACCAGAGCTCCGCCCGTGAGCAGGCGGTGTGCGGGCCTGGCCACTGGGCCCGAGGGGCCTGGGCTGGGTACATTGTGTCCAGCATTTGCAGGGCCTGTGTTCCAGCTTGGCAGCCTGCTCACAGCTCCTGGGGCCCTTGGTGCCAGCCAGGGTGCAAGCCTTCAGAGGAATGGAGCAGGCCAGCACGTGGCTGCAGGGGGCTGGGGGCGAGGGGGCCAGGGGTGGGGGCTGTAGGGAGCTGGGGGGCGAGGGGGCCGGGGGTGGGGGCTGCAGGGAGCTGGGGGCGAGGGGGCCGGGGGTGGGGGCTGTAGGGAGCTGGGGGGCGAGGGGGCTAGGGGTGGGGCTGTAGGGAGCTGGGGGGCGAGGGGGCCGGGGGTGGGGGCTGCAGGGAGCTGGGGGCGAGGGGGCTGGGGGTGGGGGCTGTAGGGAGCTGGGGGGCGAGGGGGCTGGGGGTGGGGCTGTAGGGAGCTGGGGGGCGAGGGGGCCGGGGCTGGGGCTGCGGCAGGGAGCTGGGGGCGAGGGGGCCGGGGGTGGGGGCTGCAGGGAGCTGGGGGCGAGGGGGCCGGGGCTGGGGGCTACAGCAGGGAGTGGGGGTATGGGGGGACCAGGGGTGGGGGCTGCAGAGCTGGGGTATGGGGGGACCAGGGGTGGGGCTGCAGCAGGGAGCAGGGTACAGGGGGACCAGGGGTGGGGGTGCAGAGCTGGGGTATGGGGGGACCATGGGTGGGGGTGCAGCAGGGAGTGGGGTATGAGGGGACCAGGGGTGGGGGTGCAGAGCTGGGGTACGGGGGGACCAGGGGTGGGGCTGCAGCAGGGAGCGGGGCACGGGGGACCAGGGGTGGGGCTGCAGAGCTGGGGTATGGGGGGACCAGGGGTGGGGGCTGCAGAGCTGGGGTATGGGGGGACCATGGGTGGGGCTGCAGCAGGGAGCAGGGTACGGGGGGACCAGGGGTGGGGGCTGCAGAGCTGGGGTATGGGGGGACCAGGGGTGGGGCTGCAGCAGGGAGCAGGGTACGGGGGACCAGGGGTGGGGGCTGCAGAGCTGGGGTATGGGGGGACCAGGGGTGGGGCTGCAGCAGGGAGCGGGGCACGGGGGACCAGGGGTGGGGCTGCAGCAGGGAGCAGGGTACGGGGGGACCAGGGGTGGGGCCACAGCAGGGAGTGGGGTATGAGGGGACCAGGGGTGGGGGTGCAGAGCTGTCCGCTCAGACCCTCTGCCCGCCCCTCACCTCTGCTGCAGGTGGGCTGTGACAGCTGCCTGCCCACCTGGAGGGCTCTGGTCTGCGGCTCAGGCCACACTCACAGGGGGCAGCTCCACCTGTCACCACTGCCAGTGCTGCCACATGGCTGGGGGAGCTGTCGCAGGCCCAGTCAGTCCCGCCCTGTGCTGTCCATGGCCACACTGAAGCCTGCAGGGTGGGGGTGACACTGACCTTCAGGCCTCTGTCTCAGCGTCCTCCCAGGCAGCCCCCACCCCCCTCTGCTGCCCAGTGCCTGGCCGGAGAGTGGCCAGCCCTGCCAAGACATGAGCACGTGCCGACCTGGGGTCCTAGGTCCACTGGGGCAGAGCGGTGTGGGCCAGTGCCGGACTGGGGGAGTCCTCAGGATCTTACCCCTGGTCCCCCCCGTACCCCAGCTCCCTGGAGCCCCCACCCCTGGTCCCCCCGTACCCCAGAGCCCCCACCCCTGGTGCCCCCATACCCCAGCTCCCTGGAGCCCCCACCCCTGGTGCCCCCGTACCCCAGCTCCCTGGAGCCCTCACCCCTGGTGCCCCTGTACCCCAGCTCCCTGGAGCCCCCACCCCTGGTGCCCCCGTACCCCGCTCTCTGCACCCCCACCCCTGGTCCACTCGTACCCCAGCTCCCTGGAGCCCCACCCCTGGTGCCCCCGTACCCCGCTCTCTGCACCCCTACCCCTGGTCCCCCCGTACCCCAGCTCCCTGGAGCCCCCACCCCTGGTCCCCCCGTACCCCGTTCTCTGCACCCCCACCCCTGGTCCCCTTGCCCCCCGTCCCTGGAGCCCCCACCCCTGGTCCCCCCGTACCCCGCTCTCTGCACCCCCACCCCTGGTCCCCTTGCCCCCCCGTCCCTGCAGCCCCCACCCCTGGTAAGATCCTGAGGACTTACTGGCGGCCCACCCCCAGCTCCTGGTCTGAGGGACATGGGGGCTGGGGGCAGTGGGGGTCTGCGCCCCCACGTGCTTGGAGGGGGTCCTGACTGGAGAAGGGTGGCCAGGTGGGCAGCAGGAGGCCAGCTGGACTCACCTGAGCCCCTTCCCCAGCATGGTGTGCCCCGCAGGGGAGCAGGTGTGCTGGGCACAGCAGGCCCTGGGCCAGCACTTGGGAGTGTCCCCCTGTCTCCGTGGGTGGTCGATGCAGAGCGCGCAGCCTTGGCCTGGGGAAGGCAGGAGCCAACTTCCCACTGAAGTAGATGCCATAAAAAGGGCGTGTCCCAGTGGCACACAGGGTCCCACTGCTGCGCCGCAGGACCACCAGCCCTGCCCGTGGCACCTATCCCGGGCAGGTGCCAGACCGTGCACAGAGGTGGCTGGGGCGGGGAGCAGGAGTGGCCCCCAGGCCCCAGGCTTGTCCCCCATGTCACCCTGGCTGGCTCTGGGCTCTGCCCTCTGCACCCTCACCCGGCCCCTGCCTTGGGCGGGAGCTGCGACAAGACCAAGCGGTGATGGCAACGACCTGTGACTCGCCTGAAGCCTCAGCTGGCTGTCCCTGCAGGGGACCTGTGGCCAGGAGCTGGAGGGGCAGGACAGGTCTTGGACCTCCAGATTCAAGAACGCGGCTCCACCACCAGCGGGGGTGGGGGGGGGGGCACCTGGGAGGGCCGACCTGCGTAGGAGCCCCGTGGCCCCCGGTGAGACCACGGCCTGGCCGGCCCCACTGCTCCCGCTCCCGCTAGTGCATGAGCCCAGTTTGGGTCATTTGCTCCCACAGGGGACCTGCACAAGGTGTCTGTTGCCAGCCCAGCCCCCACCACAGTGGGTGTGGCTTCCTGCTCACTCTGCCACCAGCCAACCTTCCACCCTGCTGAGAATGGCCAACTAGCCCTCTGCTGGGCGTGGCTGACGGCTCCCCTGACAGCTGTCAGTCACTCCATCCCCCACATCCCCAGTGGGGTCACCGTGGGACAGGTCCCACCCTCCCCGCACAAATCCCGCAGCCCACACGACAGGCGACACTCATCGTGGACCCTGGCTCACAGCGGGTGTTCACTAGACTGGAGGGTGCACTCAGCACCCAGGAGCAGCTGTGGGGGTGAGAAGCCTGGGAGGGTGTGGGGTGCTGACCCAGCACCTCTGCCTGCAGCACAGAATTGGGCACAAAACGGGCTGTTCCACACGGACACGGCCAACACAGAAGCCTGGCTGTTTTCTACCCTGCTTAGTGGGCATCCTGCAGGCCCCGGGCTGGGCCTGGACCCTCACTGCCTTCCCCCCAGAGCCAGCTGTGCGTGCCAAACTCAGAGGAGCCCCCACAGGGCCTGCGGGCTTCCTCCAGAGCCCTTGGTGTCCCCTTCCCGCTGGGCCTGGGTGCAGTGTGCAGATGACAAGGGAGAGGCACCAGGGACAGGAGCCCTGCAGGGCCTGGCTGCGGGGGGCGCCGAGAGCTGAGGGTGGGGCTGCTGGCCCCGAGAAGTTCCCGAAATCCGGGCACACCTGCTGTCTGGGAGGCCAGGTCCAGAGTCGGGGAGGGGCCCGCAGGCCCGGGTTGCGTGGGGGAGGAGCTGGAGTTCTGAAATGCGCTCCACGGAGGCCAAGGCCCTCGGCGCCCTGCGCGAGCCCGGGCAGAGGGCTGCCAGGGCCCCTCCTGAGGCCACAGAGCTTGCGGGGGCAGGTGGGGAGTGAGAGCCGGCCAGCACCACGGAGGCCGCCGGGACTTCGGGACCCAATTGTCCCAAGCCGGGCAGCAGCCACGGGGCCCGCGGCCAGGGCGCTGCCTCCCGATCAGCATCCTGTCCCAGCGCTGCCACCCAGGCGCGCGCGCACGACCCCACTTCCTCTGCACTGCGCCCCGCCCCCGCCCCATCCACCTGCGCGCCCCTTCTCCCGACCCCGCACCCCCTCCACCCGTCTGCTCTCTCCCCCCCCCGGCCCAGCACCCCCTCTTCCCTCCACGCCCCCTCTACACCCGCTCCCCTTCCCCTCCCCCGGCCCCGCGCCCCTCCCGCCCCGCTGGCCGCGGTGGGTCCCGGCGCGCAGAGGTGCCAGCAACTTTGTTGACGAAATTCCTGAACCCGCCTGAACCGCGGGGCTAAAAATAGCCGGAGCAGGAGCCGGGCGCGGCGTCCGCGGTGTCGGGATGCCCCGTGGGGCCCGGCGGGGCGACCCGCGGCTTCCAGGCGGGCTGCGGCCCCGACCCCTCCGCGGGCTCACGGCCCGCTCCCTGCTCTAGGGAGGCCCTGTTCGTTACGGAGGCGCCGACAGGGACCCTCGGCGCGGTGGCCCCTCCGCTCCCTTGGCAGCTTCGGCCTCCGGCCGCGGCGCGGGGCCCTGGAGATCTCCGGTTGGGGCCGGACTCCGCACCCCGCGCCAGGTGCCCCCCGCGCGCCGTCGGCCCTGCAGTCCCCGGAGGCGCCACTAGGGGGCGCTGCCCACTCCTCCCGCTTGCGGCCCGCCCCGCCCCTTCTCACAGCTGTTTCCCGTAGGAGATTGACAGCTGGGCCCGGGTTGCCATGGGGATAGGCAAATGAGGGCGGAGGGGCTGGGGCTCCGATTGGCCCGGGGGCGCACGCCCCCTCCCGGGGAGGCGGGCCCGGACGCCCGGCTCTATAAATGGGCGCGCGTGGCTCGGCGCTCAGCCGTGGGAGGCGGGGCCGGCCGGCGGCGCGGGCGGAGCGCGGCGGCCGGGAGGGGCGGGCGGGGCGGCGGCTGAGCGCCACCTGCCCCGAGCGGCGTCCCCTGCGCGCCGCCCCTGCGTCGGCCGCGCGAGCTGCTCCCCGCGCCCCTGGGCGCCGCGCGGCCCGGGGGAGCGAGCGGAGGGGCCCGCGGCTCCCCCCCGCCCCGCCGCCCGACGGGGCGCGGCCGGGCGCGGCGGCGAGGCTGGGGCCCCGGGCGATGGCCGCGGAGCTGGCGATGGGCGCCGAACTGCCCAGCAGCCCGCTGGCCATCGAGTACGTCAACGACTTCGACCTGATGAAGTTCGAGGTGAAGAAGGAGCCGCCCGAGGCCGAGCGCTTCTGCCACCGCCTGCCGCCCGGCTCGCTGTCCTCGACGCCGCTCAGCACGCCCTGCTCCTCCGTGCCGTCCTCGCCCAGCTTCTGCGCGCCCAGCCCGGGCGCGGGGGCCGGGGGCGCGGCGGGGCCGCCGAGCGGGGGCCCAGGCGCCGTCGGGGGCGCGGCGGGGAAGCCGGCGCCGGAGGATCTGTACTGGATGAGCGGCTACCAGCCCCACCTGAACCCCGAGGCGCTCAACCTGACGCCCGAGGACGCGGTGGAAGCGCTCATCGGCAGCGGCCAGCACGGCGCGCACCACCCGGCGGCCGCCGCGGCCTACGAGGCCTTCCGGGGCCAGGGCTTCGCGGGCGGCGGCGGCGGCGGCGGGGGCGGCGCGGACGCGCTGGGCGCCGGCCCGCACCACGCGGCGCACCCCCACCACCACCACGCCGCGCACCACCACCACCACCACCACCACGTGCGCCTGGAGGAGCGCTTCTCCGACGACCAGCTGGTGTCCATGTCCGTGCGCGAGCTGAACCGGCAGCTGCGCGGCTTCAGCAAGGAGGAGGTGACGCGGCTGAAGCAGAAGCGGCGCACGCTGAAGAACCGCGGCTACGCGCAGTCCTGCCGCTTCAAGCGGGTGCAGCAGCGGCACATCCTGGAGAGCGAGAAGTGCCAGCTGCAGGGCCAGGTGGAGCAGCTGCGGCTGGAGGTGGGGCGCCTGGCCAAGGAGCGGGACCTGTACAAGGAGAAATACGAGAAGCTGGCGGGCCTCGCGCGGGAGCCCTCGCCGCCGCAGGCCGGGCCCGGCGGCGCCAAGGGCGCGTCCGACTTCTTCCTGTGAGCGCGGGCCCCGGCGCCGCACGGCTTCGCGCGGGACCCGCACTCCGGCCGGGCGCCCGCGCGCGCCCCGCGGCCCCGCCGTCGCTCCGTGCAGCGCGTCTCGGGCGCTGGCCCCCCGCCCCGACTTGGCGGGGTCTTTTATTTATTTTGCTTGGAGACTGCGAAAGAAGCCCCGGCGGAGCCCCCTCCTCCCCCCGGCCGGGGCTGCCCTCGGACGCCCGCCAGTCCCGCATGTGTCGCCTGCCCGCTCGGGGCCCCGGCCCCTGCCCGCCCGTCCCCGCCCTGCTCGGCGTTCCCCGGAGGAGAAGCGAGGCGGCCTTGGCGATGTGGGGAGGGGTCCGCGGCGCGCCCGGGCCCGGGGCTGGGAGCCGGCCCGGCCTCCCGCGCCGCCGTTTCTCTATGCACCGCACCGCCTGGGACTCCTGGGAAATACGTCTTGTTATTTTAACCCCAAAGAGGAGTGGAAGGGGAAAGTTACGCACACTATTTCTAGAAGAAAAAAAAAATTTAAGGGGAAGCTTCAGCCCGAGCTTCCCGGCATGGGGTGGGTGGAGAACTTGTTTTTATTTTAATTTAAATTGTGTTTCGTTTCGTTTGTGGGATCGATTTTAAAAGCCTGGCCGCTGCTGGGCTGGCGGGAGTGGGGGCGGTCCAGGGGGCGGGCGCCCGGCCGCTCCCCGCGCCAGCCGGCGCTGGGCACCCGCGCGTCCCGCGTCCGCCCGCGTCGAAGCGGCGGTCACCGGCTCGTTGGAACTTCGCTTGTGTTGGTTTCTGTTGGGTCCTTTTTTCATTTGCTACGAAACCGAGGAAAGGGAAAGAAATACAGAAATAAATCCGTTGAGATCCAACAGTGGCTGCAGCCTGGCTGGTGTCTCTGTGGCTTTCGCTTTTTTCCCCGCCCCCGGGCCGGACAGAAATCAAAGGAGGTCCCGGATCCGGTGGAAAGCGAGCCGGCGGCCACACCCCCCAGCCCCCTGGCCAGGCTGCGGGGGACGAGCCCTGGGCTCGGCGGAGGCGCGCAGGGGCTTGGGGCTGCGTTCCCGGACCGCGATTGGCTCCGCTCTTCGGGGTGGGCCTCGCCTCGGCCCGGGTCCTCAGGACTGGCACCCCGGTTAAGGGGCAAGGCTTCCCCCGAGACCGGGGCTTGGCTGCGGCCGGGAGTCTGGGCTCTGGGGGTGCGACCCCAGCCTAGCACAGGGGGACAGAAGCGGGGTGGGGGTGTGGAGGAGCGGGGCTGATTCCAGAGCCGGGTTCGTTCCCGCCAGTCTGAGGGGGACTCCGCACCAGCTGCCACTGGTTCAGGGTTTCCAGGTGGTGGGGAGCCAGGACGGCGGGCACTGCACTGGGGAGCTGGTCACCCCAGCCGGCTGGGAGCAGCAAAGTGCAGGTGCACCTCGCACCCTCCCTGCCGGGCACCGCCCCACAGCGCGGGCAGGGGTCTGGGCAGGGCCTCCTGGTGGGCAGGTGTGCCCCGTGGGGCTCAGAGGGGCACCCCCCAGGGGTGCAGTGGGGATTAGGCTCCACTTCCTGTCTTCCGTCTCTTCCCTGCCTCCCTGGGGGGTGCACAGCAGGCCCGCGGCTGCTTCTGTTCCGGGACCCAGCAGGTCCCCCTGGGAAGCCGCCTCCCCCGGCCGCGCCCAGAGCCCGCACTCAGGGCAGGAGCTGGGGGCTCGCCCGGCACAGGCCGCCTGCGGGAAGGGCCGCCCGGCTCTCTGGAGGGCTCTGGACTGTGTTTGCCACGCCCGGCCTGGCTGGGGCAGGGCTGGCCACGGAGGAGGCACTGTGAAAGCCGGGGCCCTCGGGAGGGCTACAGAGCCCAAGGGGGTGTGTGCGCTGTGCACGCGTGTCCGTATCACACGTGTGTCCGTGTAGGAGCGCTGGTCGTAGAGGGATGACCCTGCACGGCCCAAGAGGACGTGAGGGCGCCTGGCCTGGGTGTCCCCTTGTCTTGGCGCTCACGGCCAGCCCAGGCATTCTTGCAAAGGAGCCTTCCTGGGCTGCGGGGTGGGCCCTGCCCCCACTCCCGCCGCCCGCGGCCCCCAGCGCCTCCCCGGGGAGTCCTGGGCAGACTGAAGAGCCTTGAGCCTGCTGTGTCCTGGGAGGGAGGGGGACGCCTGTGGCGCTGTGCAGGGGCCGCGAGGTCTTGGGGACCAAGGGGACAGGTTGTGGACCTGGGCCCTGTGCAGCACCGGCTCCACTCTGTGTCCCACGCCCTGGCCTCAGCTGCCCGCAGGGTCTGTGCTGGGGCGGCCAGAGCTGATGACTGACTGCTCCCCAGCGCCCGGGACCTCCGCGGACCCGGAACCCGGCTGGACCACGAAGCCGCCTGCCGCTCCCCTGCAGGAAAACCCCGGAGACCTGGTCCAGGTGCGCCTGCTGGGGCCCTGTGCCTGCCCCGTCCGTCCTGGGACGGCCCTGCACCCCACGCCACGGCCTTGTCCCCGTCCGTCCTGGGACGGCCCTGCACCCCACGCCACGGCCTTGTCCCCGTCCGTCCTGGGACGGCCCTGCACCCCACGCCACGGCCTTGTCCCCGTCCGTCCTGGGACGGCCCTGCACCCCACGCCACGGCCTTGTCCCCGTCCGTCCTGGGACGGCCCTGCACCCCACGCCACGGCCTTGTCCCTGGCCTCCTATTTATAACGGGTTCTGAGGCTGGAGCCAGGGAAGGCGGCGCGTCCTCTCGCCCGGCGCCCGCACAAGGTGAGGAGCAGGGCCGTGCGCACGTGCACGCAGCGCACACGGCCTGGACACGCACAGGGGACCCACGCACACGCCGAGGGCTTCTGACAGTTAATGGAGAAATGGAATTAAAAGAAGCTCCTTGTAGCACAAAAAGACTCACGCCTGCTCTAGGGCAGCACAGTTCCCGGGCCCTGCGGGGGATGCCACACAGGTGGGTACCGGGGCGAGGGTTCCCCGGGCTCCTGGCCCTCACCCTGCCCAGTCTGGGGCACTCTGGCCCAGCCCTGGGGACTGGGAGCCAGGCAAGGGATGAGGCTGGCCTCTGCCTTGAGCCCAGTGCGCCTGGGCCCCCGGCAGCTGTGTGGTCTGGCAAAGGGGCACCTGCCATGGAGGCTGGGCCCTGGCGCGTGGGGTCCACAGCGCTCCCCTGCCCTGCCCCCGCCCTGGCCTCCCAGCCTCACGTCAGCCCTGGCCCTGGCTGCCTGCTCAGCAGTTCCGAAGGCCGCCGAGTCGGGCCGGGGCCAGGGAGGCCCCAGGGTGCCCTGCGCTCCCAGCTCCAGCCCCCAGGGCCCCACCTCCCCAGCGCCCCTGACCCTGGACCTGGGCGGGGCGGCCCTAGTGGGGGAGGGGCGCGCAGTCCCGCAGTGGAGGCCACTGGTTAAGCACCTGCCCAGGCTAAGCAGGCAGTGACAGCCCCCAGCAGGCAGGGCCCCAGTAAGGACCCTGGGGGCGGAAGGGCCAGTGGGTGAGGGTGGGGAAGGGGCCACAGAAGCACGGTCGGGATCCACCCTCCCCAGAAGGGCGGGCAGCTCCTCCCCGAGCCTGGGAGCCCCCTCGGGAGGGTGAGGGCCCGAGAGGCCCCGGTCAGCAGGAAGAGGGAGAGGGTGGGGAGGTGGGAATTAAGGGGGGCCTGGACACCCCGCACACTCGGGGGCCCCTGCACCAGCACGGGTGGCAGGGTGGGCTCCAGGCTCAGCTAATCAGCGGGGGCTGGAGCTGTCACAGCCAATTAGCCCGTGGCTGGGGGAGGAGGCGGAGGGCATCCCGGGGGAGGGGGCGTTCGTACCGGAGGGGAAGGAGGACGAGGACGTCTTGGGGGCCGATTCGCACTCAGAGCCCAGGACGCAGCGCCGGGAGCGCGGCCGCCAGAGAAAGACGCAGGCGGCCAGGGCGGGACCTGCGCCGCGACTCCAGCGCCAGCCGCAGCCCGGCTGCCTTCGCCCAAGCCTGGCCGCCGCTCCCCACGGTCCGCCGAGCCTCCCACCGTCTCCCGCGGGCGCCCCCGCCACCAGCGGGGCCGGGACCCCAGGGCGCCGGGACAGAAACCCCAGGGTGAGGCCGCTGCCCTCGGGCCGGCCGGGGCTCCTGTGCCGGCGCCGCCCGCTTTCCCGCGCCTCCTCCCGGCTGCGGGGCCCCTCGTGCGGTGCGCCCGCGCCCTCGGGGAAGCCCTTTCCCGACCCTCGGCCGCCGCCCTGAGGGCGCGGGCCCGGCGGGGGTGGCGCCCCGCACCCGCCCCTGCAGCCCCCGCGTGCGGCTCGCGCTCACGCCCCCGGCCCGCGGGCTCCCAGCCCCCGTTCTCTCCACCGTAAGACCGGAGTTGGAGAATCTGCGTCTGGAAAAGGTGCGTTTATTGCCTGCCGGGAGCTCACGGAGAGCATCTCCGTTCGTCCCGAAGTCCGTGGGACTCGCCTATGTGGAAAAACGCGTTTCAGCAAACCCCGCGGAGTTGGCAGCAAGACGACTGCGATGCGGCCGCGCCTTCCCGCGGGGCTCTGTGCCCAGGCGAGGCTGAGCGGTGCGCGCGGCCAGCCCTGGGGCACCGAGAACTCGGGGACCCCGCGTGGGGCTGCCCCACCCCACGCTGGAGCAGGAGGGGCCTCGGCGGGGAGGGGCAGGCGGACCTCGGTCAGCGCCCACCGCTCAGGGTCCTGCTGAGGCTCCACGCCGCAGGCCTGAGGGGCGGTCCTTGGGCAGCCTGGGAAGGCTCACTGGAGGCGGCGGCCGGGTCTCTCCAGGAGCGCGTGCCATGCTTCTGGGACTCCAAGGTCCCCGGGCCAGCCCCAGCTCCCGCGGGGCCTGTCCGCTGCGGGGGGCGGGGCGGGGCGCCCTGCCCCGCGGGCAAAGCCCAGCGCGTGCATCCAGACCTGCACAGCCTTGGCGCTGCCCGGAGAGCTGGGTTAGGCTGCGCTCAGGAGCGCTGGGGCCCTGGGTCGGGGCTGGAGGGATGCTGAGCCATGCGAGAGTGCGCGGTGAGCCCCCGGCACATCCCCAGACACCGGGACCTCTGGCCAGCACCAGCAGCTGTCAGATCTGCCCCCACCATCCAGTGCCATTGAAGATGCGTTACCCTCCCAGAACATTCCAGGGCCTGGCTGAGCCAGTCCCAGGGGGAGGGAGTCGGGCAGGAGGCCACACCCACCTGCCCCTCACCTCCGGCCCCCACTTTCCTGAGGACGGAGAGTGAGTGGCGGAGCCCAGGTGACGGATCCACGCGGACAGGGACAAGCAGGTTGTTTCCTCCTTGCTGAAGTCCGGAGGGCGGCTGGGACGGCACAAAGCACTCTGGGAGGAATGTGTTTCCTGTTTTGGCCTATGCCTCAGGGGCCAGCCTGTGGTCCAGGTGGCTGCTTCCACTCCAGCCACCACATCTGCATTCCAGGAGGGAGGAGAAAGGGGAGCCAGCAGGGTGCCTTGCTGTCCTTGAAGAAGTCAGGGCGACTCCTGTGACCTGTCCAGCTCCAGCGCGCGCGGCCAGAGCCCAGCTGCGGGATCTCAGCCAGCTGGGGGAGGGGAAATGCAGATTTCAGCCTCTGATCTGGTCCTGGGAGGGCGAGGAACGAGGGTGAGCCCACACTCCCGCCCACGGGAACACGAGGGTGAGCCCACGCTCCCGCCCACTGCAATGCGAAGGTGAGCCCATGCTCCCACCCACAAGAACACGAGGGTGAGCCCACACTCCCGCCCACGGGGAACGCGAGCCCACACTCCCACCCACAAGAACGCGAGGGTGAGCCCACACTCCCGCCCACAAGAACGCGAGGGTGAGCCCACACTCCCGTCCACGGGGAACGCGAGCCCACACTCCCGCCCACGGGGAACGCGAGCCCACACTCCCGCCCACGGGAACGCGAGGGTGAGCCCATGCTCCCACCCACAAGAACACGAGGGTGAGCCCACACTCCCGCCCACGGGGAACGCGAGCCCACACTCCCACCCACAAGAACGCGAGGGTGAGCCCACACTCCCGCCCACAAGAACGCGAGGGTGAGCCCACACTCCCGTCCACGGGGAACGCGAGCCCACACTCCCGCCCACGGGAACGCGAGGGTGAGCCCATGCTCCCACCCACTGCAATGCGAGGGTGAGCCCATGCTCCCACCCACGGGGAACGCGAGCCCACACTCGCACCCACAGGAACGCGAGGGTGAGCCCACACTCCCGCCCACGGGAACGCGAGGGCGAGCCCACACTCCTGCCCACGGGGAACGCGAGGGTGAGCCCGCACTCCCCCTGGGAGCTGACCCGCAGGGCCTGGACAGCAGGCAGAAGACAGGCAAATCCAGGCGAGGAGGAGATGATGCCTGCTGTCTCCACCCACAAGACCCCAGGGAGCTAATGGGTGGCAGGCTCCTCCCCAGCCTCCCATGTCCTCACAGAGCCTGAAACCCCCCCATGTCCTCACACAGCCTGGCTCCCCCCCAAGTCCACACAGAGCCTGAATCCCCCCCAATGTCCTCACAGAGCCTGGCTCCCCCCCCCCATGCCCTCACACAGCCTGGCTCCCCCCCAAGTCCACACAGAGCCTGAATCCCCCTCCATGTCCTCACACAGCCTGGCTCCCCACCAAGTCCACACAGAGCCTGAATCCCCCTCCATGTCCTCACACAGCCTGGCTCCCCCGCAAGTCCACACAGAGCCTGAATCCCCCTCCATGTCCTTACAGAGCCTGGCTCCCCCACAAGTCCACACAGAGCCTGGCTCCCCCCATGTCCTCACAGAGCCTGAATCTCCCCCAATGTCCTCACAGAGCCTGAATCCCCCTCCATGTCCTTACAGAGCCTGGCTCCCCCACAAGTCCACACAGAGCCTGAATCCCCCTCCATGTCCTCACACAGCCTGGCTCCCCACCATGTCCTCACAGAGCCTTGCTCCCCCATGCCCTCACAGAGCCTGAATCCCCCCACCATGTCCTCACAGAGCCTGGCTCCCCCACCATGTCCTTACAGAGCCTGGCTCCCCCACAAGTCCACACAGAGCCTGAATCCCCCTCCATGTCCTCACACAGCCTGGCTCCCCCCCAAGTCCACACAGAGCCTGAATCCCCCTCCATGTCCTTACAGAGCCTGGCTCCCCCACAAGTCCACACAGAGCCTGGCTCCCCCCATGTCCTCACAGAGCCTGAATCTCCCCCAATGTCCTCACAGAGCCTGAATCCCCCTCCATGTCCTTACAGAGCCTGGCTCCCCCACAAGTCCACACAGAGCCTGAATCCCCCTCCATGTCCTCACACAGCCTGGCTCCCCACCATGTCCTCACACAGCCTGGCTCCCCCATGCCCTCACAGAGCCTGCCCCCCCCACCATGTCCTCACAGAGCCTGGCTCCCCCACCATGCCCTCACAGAGCCTGCCCCCCCCCATGTCCTTACAGAGCCTGGCTCCCCCCCAAGTCCACACAGAGCCTGAATCCCCACCATGTCCTCACAGAGCCTGGCTCCCCCCCCATGCCCTCACAGAGCCTGAATCCCCCCCATGTTCTTACAGAGCCTGGCTCCCCCATGTCCTCACACAGCCTGGCTCCCCCACAAGTCCACACAGAGCCTGAATCCCCCCCAAGTCCACACAGAGCCTGAATCCCCCCCAAGTCCACACAGAGCCTGGCTCCCCCCATGTCCTCACAGAGCCTGAATCCCCCCCCATGCCCTCACACAGCCTGGCTCCCCCCCCATGTCCTCACAGAGCCTGGCTCCCCCCATGTTCTTACAGAGCCTACCCCTGCCATGAGCGGTGCCCGGCCCCTCCCAGCCCTTCTGCCTCCTGCCCTTGTCCCCTTGTCCCCTCTGTGACAGCCCCACCCCCACCTCTGCTCCCAGGCTGCCCAGCTGGTCCTGAGACCCTCCCTCCCCTCCCCCTCTAGGGCTTTCTCTCCTCTTGGGTGTTGGGGCCAATGCTGCCTCCTCCAAGAAGCCCCCCGCCCTACACACACTGCAGCCACGAAGTTTGCTCCACCATCCGCCCCCAGAGCCAGGAAGGGCCTGGCACACCGTGGGTGGCCACTGAGCCTGGGTCCTGGGTCCTGGGTCCGGGGCTTCCTGAGCCCCATAGCCAGGGCAGACTGGTTTCGGGTCTTTCTGTGGCCGTCCAGAAAACTGCTCAGTTAATAGGCTGTGGTCATTCATCCCGGTGCCAGCCATTTCCAATTTCATTGTTCAAAGTGACGTTAGCACGTCAGTATTTCAAAAATGCAACAGCATCAGAGACAAAAGCATAAGGGCAGCATCCTGCCCAGGGCCCAGCCCCACTCCAGGTCCCCCCAAACCGCCCAACCACCGCTGTGCTGCTGTGCTCGATCTGTGCATTTGGGACACTGAAGTGTTAGATGGGTGATACACCGCACCAGCATCGTAGCTGCCGTGACACGTTGTGGTTCAGCCGTGGTTCAGCTGTGGTTCAGCCGTGATCCAGCTGTGGTTCAGCTGTGGTTCAGCCGTGATCCAGCTGTGGTCCAGCTGTGTTTCAGCCGTGGTTCAGCTGTGGTTCAGCTGTGGTTCAGCCGTGATCCAGCTGTGGTTCAGCCATGATTCAGCCGTGATCCAGCTGTGGTTCAGCTGTGGTTCAGTCGTGATCCAGCTGTGGTTCAGCCGTGATCCAGCTGTGGTCCAGCCGTGATCCAGCTGTGATCCAGCTGTGGTTCAGCTGTGGTTTAGCCGTGATCCAGCTGTGGTTCAGCCATGATTCAGCCGTGATCCAGCTGTGGTTCAGCTGTGGTTCAGCCGTGATCCAGCTGTGGTTCAGCCGTGATTCAGCCGTGATCCAGCTGTGGTTCAGCTGTGGTTCAGTCGTGATCCAGCTGTGGTTCAGCCGTGATCCAACTGTGGTCCAGCCATGATCCAGCTGTGATCCAGCTGTGGTTCAGCCGTGATTCAGCCATGTTTCAGCTGTGGTTCAGCTGTGGTTCAGCCATGATTCAGCCGTGATCCAGCTGTGGTTCAGCTGTGGTTCAGTCGTGATCCAGCTGTGGTTCAGCCGTGATCCAGCTGTGGTCCAGCCGTGATCCAGCTGTGATCCAGCTGTGGTTCAGCCGTGATCCAGCTGTGGTTCAGTCGTGGTTCAGCTGTGATTCAGCGCCTTTCCTGAGCAGCTCTTTGGTTTTCCTGGGGTTGATAATTGCCTCTCAGGGTTTTTTTGTTTGTTTGTTTGTTTTGTTTTTTAGTTTTCTACATGTAGGTCACAAACTCCTCTCAAATGCCTGAATTATTGCAGAAATCATTTTTTAAAAAACATTTTAATTAATTATTTTACTTTTATTTGGAAAGTGGAGAAACAGAAAGGGAGAGGGAGGGAGTGAGAGGGGGAGGGAGACCCTCAAATGCCTGTAATAGCCAGGGCTGGGCCAGGCTGAAGCCAGGAGCCCTGCGCTCAATCCAGGTCTCCCATGTGGGTAGCAGGGCTCAGGTGTCTGGGCTGACACTGCTGCTTCCCAGTGTGTGCCTTAGCAGGCAGCTGGATTGGAAGTGGACAAGCCAGGACCTGGACAGGCGTCTGACAGGGGTCACGGGTGTCCCACGTGCCCCATCTGTGGGGCGCTCCCTCCTCTGCTATCCTGCTTGGTGCCTCCTGGCTGCTGTGGCACTGCTGGAGGATCTGTGGGGCAGGGCCCCGGTTTGGGACGGCCACTTCTCGCTGTCATCATGTAGAGCCTCAGGCCACCTGCCTGGGAGCCTGGCCCAGGCTGTTTCCCCAGACGTCCAGAGGCCAGGAGGGGTCGGGCTCACTGGCCCCGCACTCCAGTGCCATACGCTGGGGGCCTTGTCCAGGGTGCTCCGGAGCCAGAGGCCGCGGGGTGAGGACAAGCTGAGACCCCTTCTTCCCCGGGTCTCCTGGGTCGTGAGCCGACCCCTGCTTCCCCAACCCCCTGGTCGTGAGCCGGGGTGCCGGAGCCTGCAGCCTTGTCCCCATTAAGGGGACGGCGGGGGAGTAAGCACTTTTCTTTCCTCATTTACCCCGCTGTCTGCTAATATCATATTGATGATGATCTCTCTTTAATGGGCTATTTGCCGTAATTATGATGCACGGAGTGAGTAATTGTATCTGACTCCGCGCGCCCACCAGGGCGGGGAGGCGCACGGCCCTCTGCCCTCTGCCCTCACCCTCCCGTGGCCCTGTGGGGCCGGGGTCGAGCGCGACTTTGCAGCATGGGGAACTCGGCCCCGGAGGCCCACCATCCAAGCGCCAGCTCCCCAAGCCCTGGGGGCCTCTCCCTTCCTTCCTCCTGGGGCTGCTCCCGGATCCCCCGGGTCTGGCTGGACCACCAAGATTCCCCAGAGGGCCCTGTCCCTTGCTGCTCCAGGCAGGGACTTCCCTGAGGGGCGCCTGGCACGCAGCGTGGTGCCACAGGCGGCTGTCGGCTGGGTATAGGGAGTTTGGGGAAGGCGCAGCCCGGCTGCTGCTTGGCCACAGTGGGCGCCTGCAGGGACCTGTGCCCTGGCTTCCTCAGAGCCACCTGCCCCCACCTGCCTCTTCTGGGGCCTGTCCCTGGGAGTGATGGAGCCCTTTTGTGTGCCTGAGATATGCCAGCCCAGGCGAAGGGCAGAGGTCAGGCAGTCACACTCTAAAGATCCCCAGCCAGAGGGTGAGGTCGGGCTCGGTCACCCACGTCATCCCGAGTTCTTTGCCTTCATCACCATCACCACCACCACCACCACCATCATCACCATTATCATCACCACCACCATCACCACCATCACCACCACCACCACCACCACCACCATTATCATCACTACCACCATCACTGCCACCATCACCACCATCACCACCACCACCATCACCACCACCATCACCACCACCATCACCACCACCATCATCACTGCCACCATCACCACCATCACCACCACCACCATCACCACCACCATCACCACCACCATCATCACTGCCACCATCACCATCACCACCACCATCATCACTGCCACGCCCATCACCACCATCACCACCACCACCACCACCACCATCATCACTGCCACCATCACCACCACCATCACCACCACCACCATTATCACCACCACCACCATCACCACCATCACCACCACCACCATTATCACCACCACCACCATCATCACCATTATCATCACCACCACCACCACCATCACCACCACCACCACCATTATCATCACCACCACCATCATCACTGCCACCATCACCACCATCACCACCACCACCATCACCACCACCATCACCACCACCATCACTGCCACCATCACCATCACCACCACCATCATCACTGCCACGCCCATCACCACCACCACCACCATCACCACCACCACCACCATTATCATCACCACCACCATCATCACTGCCACCATCACCACCATCACCACCACCACCATCACCACCACCATCACCACCACCATCACTGCCACCATCACCATCACCACCACCATCATCACTGCCACGCCCATCACCACCACCACCACCATCACCACCATCATCACTGCCACGACCACCACCACCATCACCACCATTATCACCACCACCACCATCACCACCACCTCCACCACCACCACCATCACCACCATCACTGCCACGACCATCACCAGCATCACCACCATCACCATCACCACCATCACCACCATCACCACCACCACCACCGCCATCCCCATCACCACTGCCACCACCGCTTACCCGCTGTGGGCCGCAGCTCACCAGCTTTGTGAGCCAGCTGGGAGGACGCCGAGTGACAGCTGACTCCCCGCTCACAGCAGCGAGCCGGGCGGTGTCACGGTGTCTGGGCTGGCGTGGTCCAGGCACCCAGGTTGGTGCTCGGGAGGGAGCAGCACAGAGTCTGGGCAGCAGTGCTCCCGGCGTCACCGCCAGCCCAGGCGCCAGGGCCGGGCAGGGAGGTGGCCTCCGCCTGGGCGGCTCCTGGCCGCGAGCCCCGCCTGCTGTGGTGCCTTCAGGCGGCCAGGGGTGTGGAGAGGGGAGCTGGGGGGCTGGGGGAGCTGGGGGCTGGGGAGCTGGGGGAGCTGGGGGCTGGGGGAGCTGGGGGAGCTGGGGGAGCTGGGGGCTGGGGGAGCTGGGGGCTGGGGGAGCTGGGGGAGCTGGGGGCTGGGGGAGCTGGGGGAGCTGGGGGCTGGGGGAGCTGGGGGCTGGGGGAGCTGGGGGAGCTGGGGGAGCTGGGGGCTGGGGGCTGGGGGAGCTGGGGGCTGGGGGAGCTGGGGGAGCTGGGGGAGCTGGGGGCTGTGGGCTGTGGGCTGGGGGAGCTGGGGGAGCTGGGGGAGCTGGGGGCTGGGGGAGCTGGGGGAGCTGGGGGCTGGGGGAGCTGGGGGAGCTGGGGAGCTGGGGGCTGTGGGCTGTGGGCTGGGGGAGCTGGGGGAGCTGGGGGCTGGGGGAGCTGGGGGAGCTGGGGGAGCTGGGGGAGCTGGGGGCTGGGGGGGCTGGGGGAGCTGGGGGAGCTGGGGGCTGGGGGAGCTGGGGGCTGGGGGCTGGGGGCTGGGGGTCGGGGGAGCTGGGGGAGCTGGGGGAGCTGGGGGCTGGGGGTTGGGGGGCCTGGGGAAGCTGGGGGTCGGGGGGGCTGGGGGAGCTGGGGGCTGGGGGCTGTGGGCTGGGGAGCTGGGGGGCTGGGGGGCTGGGCTCAGGATGTGGGGATCCTATGTGCGCCCTGGCTCCCTCCCCACCCCTGCACACCCAGGGCTGCAGGAGGCAGAGCTGCATTTCTGGTCCATAAACCCCAGCTCCTGGGGTGGGGGCCAGTGGCGCTGCCCCCCCCACTCCGTCACAATTAAGCACGTGCAGCTAATTAACTGGGAGCTGCGGACGCTAATTAGTGCCTTTATTGAGACTGGAGGAGGGTGAAGGGCAACCTTGGCTCTGGGCACCCTCCCCCGCCCGGGCTGGCTCTGCCCTCCAGGGTCCTCCATGGCCCAGCCCCCACCCCTGGGAGCCTTAGGCAGCGCCTCTGCCTTGAGCTGTGGGGCAAGAGGCTGGGGGCAGGCGGAGACTCTGGGGTGGGGACAGTCCCAGGAGGCCTCCGCCTTGAGGGCCACACCCCCTCCTTTCTGTGAAGCCTCAGTTTGCCCATCTGTGAAGTGGGCGGTGATGAGACACTGTTCCCTGAGGCTTGGGCGGAGCAGGTGACTGTGCCCTGCCCAGTGAGGCTCTGCGGGGCGAGGAGGGGGCCTGCAGAGGGGCAGCCCAGGGGCTCCAGAGGCCCAGGAGAGCCGAGCATTTTTTTTGGACAGGCAGAGTGGACAGTGAGAGAGAGAGAGACAGAGAGAAAGGTCTTCCTTTGCCGTTGGTTCACCCTCCGATGGCCACCATGGCCGGCGCACCACGCCGATCCGAAGGCAGGAGCCAGGTGCTTCTCCTGGTCTCCCATGGGGTGCAGGGCCCAAGCACTTGGGCCATCCTCCACTGCACTCCCTGGCCACAGCAGAGAGCTGGCCTGGAAGAGGGGCAACCGGGACAGAATCCAGCGCCCCGACAGGGACTAGAACCCCGGGTGGCGGTTACCACAGGCGGAGGATTAGCCTAGTGAGCTGCGGCGCTGGCCGAGCCTGAGCATTGATGGGGCTCAGCGTGGCAGCCAGGAGGGGTGGCGTTAGGGGTGGACGCAGCTCTGGGGCCCAGGGCGGGGGATGGGTGGGCTGCCCGTGGGGGTGGACACAGCTCTGGGGTCCAGGGCGGGGGATGGGTGGGCTGCCCGTGGGGGTGGACACAGCTCTGGGGTCCAGGGTGGGGGATGGGTGGGCTGCCCGTGGGGCCCGGACCCCTGCACCTGCTGCTTCTCCCCATGGACCTTCCCTCGCCCCATTCCCGGGGCCCACGGGTGTCACCAGGACCAGGGTCTGGGGACATGGGGCCGGGGAGGGCTGGGTGTACCAGCCAGTCCTGTGGCGGCCTGACAGATGGCAGCAGCGGGGGGCTCAGCTGGTGCCCACAAGACCCCCACTGGGGGAGCGCTGGGGCCTGGGCTCTGCACGACGGGAGCAGCCGCAGTGCTGCACAGAGGCAGAGAGGTGACACCGAGCGGCCACCACCGGTGCCCCAGGCTGTCCCGGCAAGGGCAGGAGAGCTGAGGCAGGGCCACACCATGGGCACAGCTGTCTCCTTGCACCTGTGGCCTGTGCATGTGTGGGGTCTGCTCCTGTGGTGTGCAGGGCCCCCATGTCCCCCATGTCCCCCAACCCGTGTCCCCTACCCCACGTCCCCCACCCCGTGTCCCCCACGGGCCCCCACCCCATGTCCCCCATAGGCCCCACCCTGTGTCCCCTACCCCACGTCCCCCATGTCCCCCACTGTCCCCCATGTAGCCCACAGCACCCCATGAACCCCACAGCACCCCATGTACCCCACTGTACCCCACGAGGCTGCCTGTGCCGCAGCCTCAGGGCTCCTGTGGGGGGCCCTGCCTGGCTTCTGGGGGCCCCCGGCCCATGGCTGGCCTGGCTGCGCAGGCTTCCTGCCCCTGCACAGGGCTCAGGAGAGGCCCCTCCTGCCCCCCCGCCCCCTCCCTGGCCTGGACCCCAAGGCCTGTGAGGTCAGCCGGAGGCCACGCCCCCTCCCCCTGGGGCCCAGGTGCTCACAGAGTCCCGGAGCCCCTCCGCAGGGGCCCAGGCATTTCTGCACTCCCGCCCTGTGCCTGCGGCCACTCTCCCGGGCCCTGGGCTGCTGCTCACCGAGACGGAGGTGGGTGTCCAGCCCCAGCCGCATCCGCTGGCCAGACCTGGGTGACAGCTCTCCCCGCTGGGCCTGGCCCCACCCCCACAGGAAGCTTCCACAGCCCTCCAGGCCAGCTCAAGGCTCCCTGACTCCCTGGGGACGCAGCCCGGGCCGGGGTCGGGCCTGTGCTCCACACTGGGGACAGCAGAGTCCACCCCGTGGCCAGCGCACACTTGGTGACCACCAGAATCCCCGCCGGGAGCGGTGTGCTTTCTCAGGTTGCTTGGCCAGGGAGCCTGGGTCACCAGGGCTGGCCGAGGGGGCAGAGGGTGGGCTTCCTGGGGGAGGCAGCGTCTCACACAGCCAGGCAGCGCTGCCCCTCCAGCCTCTGCCCTCACAGCTGGGCTCCCACAGGCCCCTGGGGCTGGGGGATTTGGGAGGGGCTTCCTGCCACCCTCCAGGGGGGACTGGAGCCCCAGGGCAGGGACGGAGACTGATGGGGGGACGGGGGGCAGGGGAGGGAGGAGGCGGGAGGAAGGCCAGGCCAGCAGGCCAAGGACGCGTGCAGGCGTGGCGGCGAGCAGGCCCTGCAGCGGGCAGCAGGAGCGAGGAAGGCAGGGCCGGGGACAGTGGCTGAGTCCCTGCAGGCAGGACGGGGAGCCGCCGGGAGACAGAACGCAGGCCACCCCAGCTCGCTGGACAGCCACAGGGGCCCGTGCCGTGGCCAGAGGCCACGAGGTCCACAAAGGCCCCCTGGTGTGGGGGCTCCAGCAAGGCAGGGTTTCCTGCAACACCCGGCTCCCACCCGAATCTCACCCACGCGAAGCCCGCACCTGCACGGCCAGGGCAGAGCCAGGCCGAAGCCGGGAACCTGGACGTCCACCCGGGTCTTCTGTGTGGGTGCAGGGCCCCACGCATGTGGGCCGACCCCTGCTGCTTCCCAGGCCACCAGCAGGGGGCTGGGTCGGAGGCGGAGCGGCCGGCGCTGGGCTGGCACTCAGCGGGAGTCTCAGTGTCCAGCCACGAAGAGCCACGGAGGAGGCTTTGGAAAGTCTGAATTTTCCCCTCGTGGCTGTGGTTCCGGGGGGGGGGGGGGCGTCCAGGGGAACCCCATGCGGGCAGCGTGCTCAGCCCGAGCTCCGGACGCAGCTCAGCCTGCTGGCGGCTCCGGCTGCGCTGGGCTTTCGGGGCGCGAGGAGCCACAGTTCCCCAGGAGCCCTGCAAGTGTGGCATGGAGAGGGGACCCCGCTCGGACCCTGCGGAAAGGCAGCGCGGTGCAGGCTGGAGTGCAGAGAGGCGGGCCCAGGGCAGGCGGCTGCGCAGTGGGGGGCGTCTCCCTGCGGATCCACAGCTGCCCTGGAAGGGAGGCCTTAGCCGCAGACCCCACCCCCGCTGACCTGCTGTGGGGAGCAATCCGGACTGGACTGAGTTACTGGAATTAAGACTTATTCTATGCATCTGCTCTCCCACAATATGGCGCTGGGAGAGAAGTAAACAGCTTCCACACAGCTGCCTCCAGTTCAGCTAATAAGCTGTAGGACTTGCTCCTGATTGGAGGAGAGCAGCGTACTCGGCGTGTGGGCAGCCGAGTTAGGATTGGCGGAGGAGGACTATAAAGGAGGAGAGAGACGGCATGCACCAGGAACATCTAAGGGGAACATCTAGCTGAAGGAACACCTGTGCAGCCCCCGAGAAGAGCCGGCCGGCGGTGTGCCGCTCCCCTGCGGAAGTGGGGAATGTGGCCAGGGGGAACTGCCCTTCCACGGAGGTGGAAGGGCTAGTAGCCAACCCGGGAAGAACCAGCAGCAAACCCGGGGAGGGCCGAGCAGACGAAAGAACAGCGCAGGGTCCTGTGTCGTTCCTCCGCGAAGAGGGGGAGCGACACCTGCCACCTGCCCCGAGACGGTGGGGAGACCGAGGCAGCCGAGGAGCATCGGGAGTGGGTGAGGCCGCGGGGCCAGGCAGGGCTGGACAAGCCCCGCTCCTCCGTCCCTCCCTGCCCTCGCCCTGCCCCCGACGAGCTGACGGATGGCTCCTCCCTGCTGGCTCGCTGACCATCCAGCTCAAGGGTGGCATCTTAAACGGTGCGGCTGACCAGGGCCCACCGACTGCCGCTGGGCGGACGAATCAGCACAGACCAGCCCCTGCCTCCCAGGCCGCCTCCCCTGCCCTGGCTCTGCGGCGCCCTCTGGTGGCCTCAGGGTGCAGCACAGCCTGGAGAGCAGAGGGGAGGCTCCCGGCGGCTGCTTGTCCCTGACCCCTCTTCCATGGACACCAACACCCCTCTCCCTGGGACAGCCTCCTCATGG